CAGCATGCCGCATCCGAGGGCCTCTGATTTCTGGCTTTTACAGCAAAAATCACGTGACGTGGAGCAGGCTGGAGCACTATCAAGGTATTATGATATGCCAGGGTTTTTTACCGAAAGTATGATTTTCATCAAAAGAAAAAAAAAAAGCGTAGACGCTGATGCTCTTACTGTTGAACCGATAGGTGATGGTATGTAGTGCACAGCAGGAACCCACAGAGGTCAGTCTCTACTGGTGGAACGGCTGAAAAAGACGCTAACTGGGAGCGGTGGGAGAATTACAGGACGAGCAGAAGAGCATCCTCAAGTTCTCAGTCAGATTCTACCTTCCTACCTTTCAAACACCAAGATGGCGGGACTAAATTCCAGTCTCGAGGTTTTAAAACAGCAGATCACGTTCATCTTTACAGCCATGGCACCATCATCCAATCCACACTGCCCCTAAAAATGTGCATTAATCACCCTCCAAAGCCTAACGAGACTCGCAACCCTCATTGCCTTAATCAAAAGTGTGACCTTTTACATTTTGATTTTATTTTATGTTTGACAATCAGGGCATGAGACAAGCTGCACCCTCTGTGTAGGACAGAGAGAGGGGAAGAAAAGGTAGAAGATGGACACAACCGAGCCTATTGCACACGTTTTTGTAATGTCTCTTTATGCTTTCTACGTTTCTTTTACTTTTTTTTGTTACCATCATATGCAGTAAAACCCAGTAATATGTTAGGAAGATGTGCTGCCCACGCTTAGTTTGGAGCATTTAAATCAAATCAACTAAAAATCAGCCTCTGCCATTAAAGCATTAAACCTCCGGAGCCTGATCAAATCTCTTACACTTGCCCCCCTGAATTTTAAAGTCCTGCTGCCATGATGGTCCTGCATTAGCGTGGGCTGTTTCAGCTGACATAGTCAAGTTCACCGCTCAGTTTAAGGGGTCTGGTAAAGACTTGGTAGTAAAAAGAATCCTGGGCCTGTCGCCAACAGTAATGGTATTAGGACTTAAGTTCTACAAGGGAGAACTCAAGTACACTTGAATATTGCACAGGGTCCTGCACTTGCATCAGGATCCGATTTCACATTTTGACAGAGCGTTAACACGGGAGGCCTTAAGGGACTAGTTTATAATTCCATTTAGACCACAAGGTGATTTAACGTCGACTGTAGTCAGAGGGTTTCAAAGGCATGCGGCTGACGGGAGACATGGGCACTCATCTCCCTGCTGTGCAAACTTTCAAAGGACAACAGCTGCTGTTAAGATTTAAAAAAAAAAAAAGGCCCAATCTGGCTGACAAAGGCAACCTGGTTAAAAACCCCATCAGTGCTGATATTACAAACTGGGATCAAACTGTCTGTATTTACTACTTCGTAATTAGAACAGAGAGAAAGGTTAGCGATAGTATACCAGCTTGCTAATAGACCTTGTAAATGAGTCATGTCTGACTCAGGGCTATGTGGCAGCTATTGCAGCACAACGACACTTGGAGAATGCAGTGACAGCCTCCTGCATGAGAAGATCTGTGCCCACTACAGCGCTAAGGTGATAAACCGAGTGGAGTACAGGTATGCACAGATAACCCCCCACTCACATAAATATATAGACACACACTTGGCTCTCGTGCATTATTAGATTCATAAAGCAGCGTCCCCCTCCACTCCCTCTGCATTCGGCTAGACTATTACAGATGTAGGAGGGCATTTATCCTGGAAGTAGTGGAGGCATATACATGTACACAGACAAGGAGGAGGAGAGATAAAGCAAGAGGGGTGGATGAGAAAAGTTTTAAAGTGTAGGAAAACACAGAAAAGAGCCTTCTGAATGTTTCATTCACTTTTAGTCAGATTACATTCGCCACCGCTCCTCTTCCCTCGTAGGCCGCAGTGACATCATCACACGAGCAGATGTAGAGCTTTACTATGCATCTTCAAATAGACCACGAGAGCCTTATCGTGTCACTGCCAAGCAGGTAGAGCTTCCGACGGACGACCCGTCCTGTTTGTGTGGTTTGCACGTGGGTGTGCATGCAAGCAATTTGACAGCAGCCTTGGAATTATACTGTACAAAAAAAAAATAGCTACCTTCATTTTCCAAAGTGCTTCTGAGGGAAAATAGAGTCAGTTTCCAATTAATATTTTTTTTGTCCTTTATTCACTCACACAACTGGTAGCTTTTAATTAGGCTCGCTTCTTTTTGAGCAAAGAAATTTGCCTGGTAGGATGAATAAAGACTCGTACGAATCACGAGGCTTTCATTGAGTTGCCTGGTTAAGCTGAGGTGGAGCTGTGGATGGGGGGGAAAAAGCCCCCACCTCCACTCCCAAAGCTGCTAAGTGACATGTAATTTATTTTTCAGTCACATAAGGACTTAGAGCGATGACATGCATTTCTCACTTGCCACCTGCCATCTGTCCACCCACAGGTTCCTTTGCAGGCAGGCTACATATTCATATATACTACAAACGCAGCATGTAGTATTCTATTAAATTCTATCTATTCTTCTTAACATAAGGGAATTTGTTGTTGGAGCACATCTCTACAACAGAATGGACACCACAACTACACACTATTCTGGAAAAGATAATATCGTCCCACTTTTCCTGAGATGTTAGATAAGGGTGCGAATAAAATCAATGATTGGGATTTTGTCACGAGTCAAACAGTTCCAAAACTTTTTGTGCACTCACCATAACCCTTTTTTTCCTTGTGTTTTTGTGTATTGCACACACAAATCCATCCACTCAAAGATACTGTCAATTTGATTTCAAGTAATTTACATTTGCCCCTGACTGCTTGCTGCTCTTTGGCACTTTCCCGCTACCTGCATAATGAATGAACACAGGACCCTACATGTCAGGACCACAGCTAAAACATTCAGAAAATGCTTTTTCCATGTACGGACATATGCACGGTCTTTCAGGTCCACATCTCAAACTTCAAACTCCCACAGAAGCAGCTGTGTGTCACTGAAGAAAGGCTGGCTGACCACTCCTGTCTAAAAATAAAGCCTTTCTGTATTATTGAGTGAGGCAGAGGAGGCGCAGCGTCGAGGCGTACCCTGGTAAAAACTTGTAGTCACTAGGGGTGAACAGCAATAACTCCATTGAGCTTCTAAAGCATTGCAATGAATATAGTCCCCCTATTTTTAGCACCTCTGTGATTATGATGTCTGACTATGTGAGTGCTGGCAGCCAGCACTTTGTCACTCACAGCGCGTGCTGAGCAACCCAGCGTTTTGCTGTGGATTCGGCAGCAGTGCTGAAGCAGGCATTCTGTGCAACTTTCTTATTGTGTCGCTCAATCACGGCCATCTATTGAAGCTGAGACATCAATACTCGCAACTCCACTGAATCCTGAACGAGACGATTTGTCAATGTACAGCCGACAGTGATGACAAGTTTCTTTTACACTAACAGGCGGTTAACTGGTCATTATCTAGCAACATCCCCAGCAGCAGCAAAACAAAAAAAAAAAAAGGGGGTTGATTCCTGCACCAGTCCCAGGAGTCCCACCACCTGATTAATCAGCTCGTGGGAATTGCGCATATGCTGTTCAATGCCTTGTGCACCGCATGGTATTATGTAACATGTTTACACATATCAGTGTAGTTTTCTTGATTCTTTTAAAAGCTACAACTCCCTCCCCTCCCAATGCCTTCTTTTTGTTAAGCTCCATGGAGTTCTGATTCAGGACTGCCAGCGCCGGGCTTGGGGCTCTGTCAGACACAGTCAGTGAAGCTCATCCACCCACAGAGACTACAGTCGGCATGGCAGATACAGTATTACATGACAGTGCACAAAAGGAGGAGTCTGGGAAGGATCAAACCTGACATAACAACCAGTGGAGAAGTTACCATAAGCTACAAGGGTTTTTTTTTCTGCTCCTCATCCAAGCCTCCTCCTCCTCAGGGAATGATCTAAGTGTAATGATGTCCAAGAGCTAAAGCAGAGGAGCGGTGGCCAAATGTACTGTTCATGCAAAAGTGATGCAAAAAATCACATTGTAGTTTGTTGATTGTGAACACAAGATTTTTTTAAATCTGCATTTTAAAACACTTAATATAGTTCAAATAATTAGTGCTGATTTTTTTAGTGTAATCCTTTTGCAAAAGCCCACAGTGTAAAAGTCTGATTCTCATGCACAACTGTGAAAATCCTGCAGCCAAACTGCTGAAACACACACACCCATTTTTTCCCCCTCACTACTGCATGCATCTTCCCATTTACTGTGATTGAACACCAGGTTTGCATCCTGCACATGTCACATTTTAGGAGTTAAATGTGCGCTCAAAGATTAAGGAAAAAAAGAGAGGGAGAGAGAGGGAGACAGAGAGAGAGTGAGTGAGAGGGAATTACCTTCTTCAGAGCTGACATTCTAGGTGGATCCTCCTCCTCCTGCAAAGCCCGTTCACATGCCGAGGTCCCAAGCCAAGTTTGATGGGTGCGCAAATCCTAACTCAGCCCGGTGCTGATGCTGAGCCATGAGGTGCCTGCTTAAAATTCTCATCTCGCTTCCACCCCGTCCTACAGCTGGCTTGGTGTGCGCACGCCCAAAGCTGCTGTCATTGCAGCACTCGGACGCACGGGGAGCTCCAGCCTGATGCATCCGCAGCCTCGTGTGGATGTTTTCTCACTTCAGCAAACAAAGTTGGCAATTTAAATCGATCTAAAAAAAAATTAATTAGCTTTGACTACTTTGGCAGTATGCTCACGTGGGATTATAAAAAAAACAAGAGTCACACTTTAATTCTACAGTTGATTAACTTTTTGGTAAAAGTCTGAATTGTATTACTCAAGTCTTTTTAATGAAAATAGGCTGCAGTCAAGTGTCAAAAGTACAATTGATATTGTGTTAAACATGGTTGATTCATATGCCGATTTGAAGAACGGATTCAACTGATCTAGCTAATATAATTACTCGAGGTATGCACGGTATATATTTTTCCTGACAACCAAGTCCACTTTTAATTAGCATGAATTTGAATGGAGTCTGGCGCGGCACAACCGATATCTCGTCCCCCCGTTCGCTATCAGTTTACCATATTTCCTGCAAGTGGTAGCTGGAGGAAAGTGCTGCTGGAGAGGTCCGAGCATTCTTCTGGTTATTTTGGCGTCTTTTAAGCAACTATAGTTCTCTGTTGAGCAGTAGAAATGTCTACACCTGCTGCCTCACCTGTGTGTGACGCGAGTATACAGCGAGCTAATTTGAAAAGCTACTGTACCATACTTGCTAGCTAACTCGGCTAGCTTGCTAGCTTAGCAGCTATACCTGCTTAGCCGCCGGCAGCATTGGAGTCTGTGTCTTACTCTCTACGACTGGGTTTGTCGACATGGCACAAAGGAAGGAAGGTGAGCCCCTCCAGTGTTGTCAGAAAACATTAATTTAATGCAAAAGTACGTTTTTATCTTAATGGCTAGCTTGCTAACGGAGCTAGCTTGCTAAGTCTCGCGATGAGTACATTTGTAGCCAAGTTGTAAACAAACGCACGTGTTCCACTGTCAAATGGATGGACTCGGTTTTCAGACACGGTACCTGTACAGCCGTGTAGTGAGCACGACTCAGTACAGGCTAATGTACACGAAAGGCTTCGGATTTTCTTCAAATTTTTCACAGAAAAATTACTCTGATGGACGTGTTGTCAGTAATATCAGTGATCAGTGACATGTGGTGTGTGTTGCATTGATGATCTTGTGATTATCTTGTACCACTTGTCAAGGTGTGTGATACATTAGGTGGCAAGTAAACAGTCAGTTCTTCAGGTTGATGGGATGGACGCTGGAAGAATCAGATAACAATTGAGATGACTGCACAATCGAGTTAGAGCAGGTCCTGTGTGGGGTGTCAGAACACAGTGCATCACAGCTTACTGTTTAACCACAGACAAGTCATGTGCCCTTGCTGACCCTTGTGCAGCCATGGAGGAACATGGCAGCAGCAGCAGAATGCTCTGTGGGAAGAAGGAAGGCTGACGGAGGCAGTTTGATGCTCTGAGCAATGTTGTGCTGGGAACCCTCGAGTCATGACATTCATACATATGTTTCTTTGACACGTACCACTTCCGTAAATATTGTTGCAGAACATGTACGCCCTTTCATGACAATCATATTCCCCGATGGCTTCTTTCAGTAGGATAATCTGCCCTGCCTCAAAAATAGGTCGGGAATGTTTTGAGGAACATGACAGAGTTCAGGATGTTGACTTGGCCTCTAAATTCCCCCGATCTAAATCTGATGGATGATCTGTGGGATGCTGGTCCACGATTTCTTCACATTTTATAGCTAGGCCAGTATTATGTTAATGTAATGATTCAAGTTCTATGTTCAATATTACTGTTTGTAATGTTGATATTGTGGTAGCAGTGCCAGGCTTACAGCATTAACATGGCCTATAGCAGGGGTGTCCAATCCTGGTCCTTGAGGGCCACTGTCCTGCATGTTTTAGATGTTTCCCTCTTCCAACACACCTGATTCAAATGATCAGGATCGTTATCAGGCTTCTGCAGAGCTTGATGATGAGCTGAATCAGGTGTGTTGGAAGAAGGACACATCTAAAACATGCAGGACAGTGGCCCTCAAGGACCAGGATTGGGCGGCCCTGGCCTATAGGATCAACCATCTCACGTTTCAGGGCTGATGATCAAGCAGGTTCACATCATCCTTTGTGCTACAAGAATACATTTGGAGTCGGTCACATTGACAAAAAGGACGACATGTATCTGATAACAGCGATGTGTCATGCCTATTTTATTCTGTTGTCTTCTGTCATGTAGTGTTTCAATCAAAAGTACTCAAGAAGCTTTACCCTGCACCCCCTAAACTGGAGAAGCAATGCAGCCCTCCACGCGTTGTAGAGGCTCTGGCCACAAAAACCCATGTGAAAAGAAAAGTTACTGGAGAGGACGCAGCGTTTGGTAAGTTTAGCACCACAAACACACATAATTGCCGCCACGTTAATGCCTTTTATTTGTGTTTTATAGCCTTCCGTTTTTTCCATTTGTCAGGAGATGCAGGGAAGCCACAGAATGCAGCCGTTGCAGGCAGGCGGATGTACACAGTTCTGCCTCCTCCTGCAGACTACAATATACATTCAGAGGAATCCGTCACACTTCCCCAGCTCGAAAGCATAAATAGCACAGAGGACCCAGCTGGTAAGACAACCATAATCTCACAGTTATGGTCTTGCGCCGTGCACCATAAAGCTCGGGGAGATTTACGGCATGGGGGTTTCTCCGAGTTGCCTCTCTTTAGTATTAAAGTCACTCTTTCTGATTGTCTCTGCCGCTCTAGTTAAGGGAAACGGACAGCGAGAATCAATGGCGTTCTCTAACTCGGGGGGAGAACCTGAGTGCTGTACAGATGGCGGTGGAGCCTGGGTAATTCTGTTTGATCTTTGTATTGAAGGCATTTGTCAGGGTAAACTTGTATAACTTATTCAGGAGATAATTAACCCTCATCGATGCCGCCTATTAGGCCGAGTTGTGAGCTGATTAATGCCGAGGTGAAGCGTTCCCCACCTGTAATGAGGTGAGCCGTGCTGCGGTGCGATTCGAGGACGAGCCTCCGCATCATTTAAAGGAGGTTTATTTTGTCTTGCCGCGAGCCGCCAAAATGATCAGGCCGTAATAAAAGCCCCGGCTCATTACACATGTCTCCACACTCATCATCTTCCTTAATGCAGACCTCCACGTCCGCCCGACGGGTTTCTGCTTTACCTCAAAGTGAAAGAGGCTTTATTGGCTTACACAAGGCTTCATCTGAGGGAGTGACTGACGAGGTTAAGTTTGATTAATTGCACTCGTCGGCATCCAGGTTTCTTAATTGAACACATTTTTGATTGAGGGGGTGGTGAAGCCTCCGAGGGAATTGAAAACCAGAGTGCTGTTTAAGGTCAAATACGGTGTGGGTTTCATAAAGGTTAATAAAGCTATGATATTATAAAAACAGAGCAGCAAATCTAGTGGATGTGTTTTAGTAATTGCATGGAAGCCCCAAGTTTGTAGATTTCCACACTGTGTTAACACGGCAAAAACATCAAAAAGCATCTTCCTTATTTATTAGCTGTTGTCGGGTTCACTTAGTTCCTTTAGTGTTTTGAGAATTAAGCCTCTGAGCTATTATTTTTTCTAACTGCACCTTTGAATTGGCCTCTGGTTCCTAGAGGGAAATCCAGCTTCTAGACCACCAAAGAGTGCCCTCCCTTCTCTTAAGTTATCAGGCAAGCATGTGAGATTTATTCACCAGTTTTATTGTTTGTTTCTTTCTTATTATCTCCTGCGTGGGCGTAAAAATGTGCCTAAATGTGCTTAACAGGAACATTTAGGCTTGAGAGGTTGCTCTTGGTTCCTATGAGCAACATATTGATGTGAGGTTCAGTTTTACCTACTGCAAAGTGACATTATTAATACAAAATAATCCTAAATGTTATGTATTAGCACAGACCCTGGATGGTGCTCTTGTAGGACTGGCCAGGTTTTACCATAACTGGGCTTCACCACCTGCGTTCTAAATCGCAAAGATTCGGATTCACTTTATTGTCATTGTAACGAGTACAACGAAGTAAGGTGCAGGCCTTTCAGTGCAAAAAAATATAAGAACTTTGTAAACACCTATATACAATATAAAAGAAATATATGCATAAAACTATATAAAAAGATTAAATTAAATAATAAGTACAGTGTATGTTGCACATAGTGGATGTTGGACAGAGGTAGTGGCAGTTGTTTATTAACACTATATTGCACTTATTACAACAAAGAGGCATTTATGGCTCTGACAGCAGTTGGAAAGAAGCTGTTCTTCAGTCTGTTAGTCCTGATTCTGATGGCCCTGTACCGTCTGCCCGACGGCAGTAGCTTGAACAGGAAATGTCCCGGGTGGGAAGAGTCCTTCAGGATGGTGTTGGATCTCCTGAGGCAGAAAGAGCCATGAAGGTCCTCCAGTGTGGGTAGACGGCACCCAATGACCTTCTCAGCTACTTTGGTGACCCTCTGGAGTGCTTTCCTGTTTGCTGCTGTGCAACTGGCAAACCACGTACAGCGGCAGTAGGTGAGGATGCTCTCCATGATGGAGCGGTGAAAAGACACAGGCAGTCTCTGGCTGATGTTGTTCTTCATGAGGATTCTCAGGAAGGGGAGTCTTTTTTGTGCCTTCTTTACCAGCTGTGTGGTGTTCTTATTCCTGGTCAGTTTCTCCTCAGTGTGAACTCCAGCGCTGAATGTGAGAGCACAGAGCCGCTGCGTCTCAGAACATTTACCTTACCCGTACTTTTCCTGTTTGCTGTCGACACACACTGCAGCTTCCTTCACCAGCTACATGCATACAACTCCCACTTTGACTTTACACTGCGCCTTAAACTTTGCTCCTCTTGCTCGTGCAAAATTTGAAGTAAAACGAAAATGTCTGCTCTTTGGAACAGGGTCACAGTTGAATGCACTGTCATCTGTTATTGCATTTTCTGTCATCTTTTCAAACGTGTGTCCGGTGCGCTCTGGTTGCTGCAGCTTGTGTTTTTACTCACACGAGACAGTGACCTGCCTTCCACCGCACGGAGCATCGTGGGTTAAAATAGAAGCTGGCTTGCAAAATAAAACCAGATGCAGTAAAATAGCCTGGTGTTTTTTGGCACACTGCATTTGACACACTATGCATTTGGACTTACTAAATCTTCCTCTGGCGTACTAATCAGTGTGGTAGCGTTGGTATTGGAACGCACCCCCACCAGTTTAACTAAAACGAGCAGCAGTGTGGCCGGACCTGCCGCTGTCACCTCTCAGTGCATTATGTTCTGGCCAGCAGCCAGTCTGCTGCTCACAGGTGTGAACGGGTCACTGAGATTTCAACGGGAGCTGCTTTCTTTGACCTCTGGGTGCCTCTAAAGTTGTTAAGGACAGGGGGGAGGTGCAGCGAGGCGGCCAAAAAGACTGCTGCTTCCAAACGGGCTCACATTCAGGCTGCGGTCAGTCTCGGTTACTTTTAAGTAATAGAACATAACAGAAGAGATTAGTGAGTGTGATAACAGTTTTACTGAAACTGCTTCATTAAGGGCAGAACTGCAGGAGCTGTAGTGATGATTTCCATAAGGTAGGAGGAAGGTGGTATTTTCGTGTGTGGTCTATATAACTAATGTATGACCTGAACGTTGGCTCCTTTTTGATTTTATCGGACACATTGCTGCAGAACGAGGGAAATTCTTGCAAGTAGCATCGACGGACTGTATCGCATCTTTTAAATCAGAGACCAAACTCGCTGATTTTACTGATTAGAATGCAATCAGCTCAAAAGAAGCAGCATCTAATTACCGGAATCAGTTGATGCAGTGATTGGCTGGAAGAAAACATGCAGCCTCTTTGCCTCCGCAATACCGGACGCTCCGCTCTGCTGTTGTACTCCGTCCGTGGGCGTTTTCTTAGGCCCAGATTGCAGGTGTATCCCACACGAATAACATGCAAAATGTAGCATTTTATTCCTTTAACAACCTGAACACAAGATTCTTACTTTTTAAATTGATTGAGGCTGATTTTGCTCCAGAGTTTGGGCGCCTAAGGAGCCTGCTGTTGAATAAATTAAACAATGTTTTGAAACTAATCAAGTATTTGCTCTCCTGCTGTCCACAGAGGAGAGCGTCCACGAGGGCAGTGGAGAACCGGATGAAGAAAAACAGAAGAGGAGGAGGAGAAGGAAGAAGAAGCTTCGTCAAGAGTCTGCGAAAGATGGTCCAGTGGGTGAATCCAGCACAGGTCAGAGCCCGACGCTCGGGGACCAGGCAGGGGAGAACATTAGCAAGAACAAGAAGAGAAAGCTGAAGAAGAAACGGCACAAAGAGAAGCTGCTCTCCATGGGTCTGATGCCACGGGCCGCCGCGCTGGAGTTCACGTACCGAAAAGACGAGGGGGAGGAGGATGTGGAGAGCAAAGCCGCTGAGGTGTCGGACTTCCTGAGGACCACGATGGAAATCTATACGTCAGATTGTGAGTACTGGGCGCTCGCCTTTTTGGAGGAACATCATTCTTGCTGCACTAAATCTGGAAGTTGCTGCTCGCTGTTGTGTTTTAAAAGTCACCGTTCATTAAAGTGTTTTTGATTTTTATTCAGTTTGTTGCTGTTATGCAAAAAGCCATTCTTAGATGTACTTAACAAGCGCATAATTAAATTCTGCCAAAAACTCCAAAGTGTGTTCATGAAAATGGATGACCAGAATTCATTATGACTGTGCCACAGAACATCTGTGCCTTCTTTTTATTTTTTGGAAACATTATACAACAAAAGGATTCACTAAACAGAAGCAATTAAAAACACAGCATCGATATTGAAAGAAGTTACGACTTACAGTGTATAAGATTTTTATTCTTACATTTTATTTCTATATCTGGGTGCTGCTTGGTAATCACTGACAACAACTCTGCTGCAGTTTTCCAAATAGTCTGAAAGGTGTAAAATAAATGATGTTTAAAGTACAGATTATTTTTACGGCAGTCTAACCGTACAAAATCCAGCTTATGGAAAAGAAGTCGCTCTCCTCGGTCTCTGAGTTTTTAATCAAGGCTTTGAGCTCATCCAGAGAAACAAGTTCATTAAGCTGCAGGGTGTGCTGCAGATTAGGCCATGACCAGTGTGCGAAACCAGAGGAAGCTCCTTAGTCACTGGTACCTGGCAGAGCAGCCTCTTACATGAGAGAGACAAATAATGAAGTCTGCACAGATATGAGATTCACCTTATTAGTTTTTTTTAAAGGAAATAGCAGCGTTTGCTCTACGTTAGCGAACGTCTGGGTAATTAGGTGCATCATAGGTAACGCTTGTGCAATAAAATTCCTAGAATAAGCATCTACAGCTGTTTAAGTGTTATGTAAATGACTAGATTTGCTGCTGAGAGACCACTTCTCGCTTCCTCTGTTCTCCCGCAGCCTCGGTACACGTCGCCAAGGTCCCTCACCTGTCTGCTACAGTGGACGACCTTCTGGGCAGCGTAGCCGGCGGATGCAAGTCTTCCTCTGTCCTGAATCAGCTGTACAGGCTCAAGGCCTTTGTTCAGCAGAATGACACGGACCAATTAGAGAAGGCACTGAAAGAGCTCAACAACAACAACAACAACCCCTCGATGTCTGCAGGTCAGTCAGAACATGACAAACTAAAATAGCATTTTCCAAGAGAAGCAAAGGGTTTGCTATGGGAACAGAAATGGCTGCTTCATGATTCTTCCATCCATTCATGCCCATCCCAGTCCATACTGGCCTCGTCTTGCTGGGTCCTGCCCCCAAAGACTTCTTAGCCTGTCCCTGCAGGATGGTTCTTGCCTCCTTCTGTCCTATTCTGTGCTCCTGAACACCCATCTGAGTATACCTGCCCTTACTTGCCTTCACCTGCCTTTTACCTGCACATACCTGCCCTTGAGTTGCCATCACTAGAGCTGGTTGTGTCCACACTGAAACCTCACACACAGGTAGTTAACCAACATGTTTCAACTTGTTCATCTCCTGCTACCTCCGTCAACAACCAAAACATCCCTCGCATCCCCAGATACGTCCGTGTGTTTGTGCATTTGTTGGCTCGCTGGCCGCATAATAGGATCAGCAGGGACTTTGCTGCTGTCACGCACTCCAGAATGAGAGACACCAGCCGGGGGATTCAGGCCACCGTCGTATCGACCGCCTCACGGTGGCGTCCGTCTCCCCGTCCCCAAAAATGACACAAAAACCTTTTTCGCTACACGCGAGCAGAGCCCACAATAGAGCCTGCCTCGGTTGTGCCCGTCGTCTCCACACACACACCTGCTCCACAGCTGCCTGAAAGCCTTTCTAAACCCCCACCCCCCTCCACCCACTTCATATTGCATGAGTCATGCTTCAATTCACTGTTTTTAAAATGCTGCTGTTTTTAATGTGAGCGCGCCGGGAAACTGTGTCGGAGCTTTTGTCTAACTTCGGCCCAACAGCAGCAGAAGCACTCGTGAATGAGTCTTTACAGCTTTTATTCCACTTAGCGCCCCTTTGCCACGTTAGCGTTTTTACACTGGCATTTATGAATCGCCCGCTGTATGAAAATGTTAAATTATTTAATATTTTTGATTAACGTACACCTTTTTTTACCCCAAGCACAGTGTTTGTATTTTAATGTAACCCACATTGCAGGAGCTAATCCGCGCGCATGTGTGCTTTTAAAGCCCTTCGAGTGAATTCACTAAAGCCCTCCTCACTCTGTCTACCCGTGCGGTGGCAATCAATTGACTGCAGGAGCAAGTCTAAAGCAGATTTCCTTTAAGCATATTTTACTGCACCCCGGAGTTCCTCTGACGAATGACATTGGCTTTACCGTTCCCCCCTTTATCCTGCCTGTTTCACGTTCTGCTGAGGCTAAACCGAACTTTTTAAGAATAAGCAAGAGAAGGATCCCGTCTTGGGTGGGTTGAAAGACGCGTTTTTGATGAATGTGTACACGCGGAGAGGTGGAAAGTAGATTTGCACACTGGCTGGAGATTTTGATATATTATGCCAAAAATACAACAGTGAGCGAGCGTCTTTTGGTGAAAACGCAGAGTGCTCCTGTGGTATTGTGTTGTCAGCACTAACTGAAATGTCTTCCCTCCGTCTTCTTTGTGTTGTAGAGGAAACAGCTGCAGTCGTTTCTCTGTTCCAATACTGGATCACAGACATTCTTCCCATGCAGGGAGACAAGACGACAAGGCTTTCTACAGCACACCCATGAGACTGTCAGTCACACAGAAAGGAAGACGCCACCGAAGGATTCCTCTAGTTTTTGGAAATTCTCTTCTCTTTGCTGCATTTGAAAATGTTGGACTTCTTAACATGTAAAATATCCATCCATCCATTATCTATACACCGCTTAATCCTCAGTAGGGTCGCGGGGGGGCTGGAGTCTATCCCAGACATGTAAAATATATTTTTTATAATTAAACATTTGGTGTCTGTCCAGTCTATTTTTACACCTTTTGTTTTCCTCTGCACAAAGAAAACCATTTAATCCAGAGCTTGGCAAGGCCATCCCCCTCCATCCCCAGTAAGCTTGATGTTGTCATTATCGACCGAGCTAACCTTCCCGTTTGTTAGCTGTTTTTCATGTTGTTCAAATGAATTTGATTGGTTGGTGGCGTCGCGCTCGTTCTCCTCGTCTCACTTTCTAATTGCCAGAAGAGCAAATGTCAGCTCTACCTCCAACTCCAGTGTCGCTCGCAGATGTTATGACATTTAAACCCATCCGGTTAACTTAATAGCTCCTCAATTATGTGCAGTACAATCCATTCCTGAACGTTCCATGTGTCTTTTCCATATTTGCAATTTTAGCTTAACCGCGCCGGATTGATGGTCTGCAGGGAGGTGATGCTAATAACGGCGTCTGTGCGCATATTCATTATGACGATAAGGAAGAGTTAATTAGCCCCATTATATCATCCCCGCAGCCTTTATCCAACCATGGGCTTAACGCGGCAGTATGTTGTTGATGGACCTTTTTTAAAACCAGTACCCAGGGAGTCAGAAGCTTAACCATCCGCATCAGCATACCTGTGTCCCAGCTCAGGTAAGCTACTTTGATGCATTTACCCGTCGCTCGATGCCAGGGGACAGGTTCAGGAAAAGGGCAGAGAATTATCTCAGCTGGACAGTGACATTTTGACGACCTAAGTCTGCCACGAAGAGGAATTTGTTCCAGAAGCGGGACGCGCCAGTAGACGCCGGCGGGTTGTACTGTAGCACGCAAACTCATGTCTGCGGTGTTTGATGAATTAGCACGAGGGCCGCCATCTGTGGCCTCCATTCATGGATGGACGCGCCAGGTGTTGTGTCCGTGATGGAAGCTCGTGGGCTCATTATGCAGACATTTAGCCAGAGGAGAAAATAAGGGCACTGACATGCTTATATAAGGTGATGTAAAAGTGCTCATTCATGAGTTGATATTAAGCCATGCTGAGTGGAGCCAGTCTGTCCTTTTCAACACTGAAATATCTCAACAACTGTCAGATGGATCGCCATTAAATTTAGTGATGAACACATCGTGAATCCGAAGGGTTTTGGAAAGCAAGTTTTCTCCAGAGAAATGTCTCGTCTCGATGTGTTGTTAGACATTCTTGCTTCCCGAAGTATTCATGTGACTATTTATCCAACCCCAACATGACATTCATATTTGTGGGTTTGAGGGAAATTTCCACCATATCTATAGCTGTTCATGTGCCTGCTTTATATTTTATAGCATTTGTGATTAGATTTTCTCTCGCGTAGTACTTTGAATGCTATACGGTTTCTTTTTTTGTGCGTAGAACCCAGCGGGCATCATAAGTGTCAGCGGCGCCGTGAGTTTGCCGCATTATTGCCGGAGTTTGAGATTATTCATGATGCAGGAGTTGGAAGGTCTGAAGTGGGTCCTATTACCAGAGATGAGAAGAAGGTCATTGTTGGCTGCTCTCGCCAGAGAGAATTCCTCTCGTCCGCCGAGAGAGACGTTATCAGCATAGCGTCCTCATTACGAGACCTCACTCCGAGCCGAGGACCCCGAGGCCAGGGAGGATATTAAAGCTTAGAGAAAGTTGCTGACATGGCGGGAGAGGGCATTCTTGACATCAATAGGGAAAAAAAAACATCCAAATCAACTAACTTGGTGGATTCAGATGCCTCGAAAGAGCTGCTGTGGTCAGAAATGGTTGATGCAAACCATACATGAGCGAAATTATCAATCAACAAGTTCTTTTTAATTTGTTTTGACTCTCTTTAAATAGGTGGAAAAGATCAAAATCCTAAACATGCTGCCAGGGTGTCTACATTTACTATATACAAAGAATAATACAGTGTGTTTTGACTGGGTGACATGGCTGAAATAATCACATTATTATGGGATGATTGCATTCCACTGTTGCACAATGCATCCCACAAATCTTTGCATATATGTGCAATCCTCAAACCTTTATTTATTTACAGGCTGCTCCTCGTGCAAAATTTAGTAAAACAATAGCAAATAAAACTTAACTCTGCTTCCACTAAAAACTGTTTTCCTTTGATGTCAAAGCATCAGCCGCCCCGGCGCCTCCAGCCTGCCCTCTGCTCAGACTGACTTCTTTGTCCCCGTGTGCCAGCTCCTGTAATCCCCTTAGTCTCACCACCTGCAGCCTTCGTATTATGTAAAGACATGAAGGAGACGTTATAAGAGCTGACCAGTCTGTCCCGCATCACACAGCTGAGCAAAGGTTGAAGATTCGACTCGCACGCCCGAACCCTGTCGGTGGGTTTTCCCGTCCCCCCTCCGGGAGTCCAGGGAGAGGAGCTTCAGAGACACAGAGCCGAGTGTTATCTGGCCTTGAACTCATCTGATTTAGCAGGAAGAAAGGCTCCAGAATGATTTTCAGACTCCCAAGACTGACTCCCGGCTACATCAGGCTGCTGCAGGTGAGTGTGTTGGTGGGTCCACTTGTCTCAGATAACCACTGATATGGAAATATTATTGGACAATATTTTCATTTATTTAATTGTAATTGTTGGGAGCATAGTGAGCCTGAATGACAGCAATTTAAGGGCTGAGTCATGAGCAGTGGATTGCACTTCATTGCATATCAGAAAACTTGTTTTTTTAAGTTTTTTGAAGAAAAAAAAAAAGGCAGAAACGTCTTGGGTTTGATGTCTAGATTGCGCAGCTTGTTCTGTATCTACTGAACCTGAGATGAAAGAGATAGCTGGCACTTCTGAGAGCAACCGTTGATGTAATAAAGTGTTTGCATGGTGCTGGTTTTATGAGTACTTATTGACAGGCCGCACATTTTATTCACTCAGCCTTATGCTGCCATTATACAGTCATTTTATCCAGTCCATTGTCTCAACAGACTCGGCTGTGACAAGATGATGAAACACGGCGCTATCTTATTATGTACACACAAACCGCATTCAGGAGATATTTCCAGGCCGCTGTTCCAGTAATTGTAGCATGGCTTATATTTTAGCTCGGTAGTAGTCGTGTTTACCGCAAACAATGGAGAAACCCAAGCCGGTGACAGTCCATTGCATTGTAAGTGGAAATGGGAACTGGGTGAGTGAGCTACAGGAATGGCTTCTTAACTGCCTGTGACACAGCTCCATTAGAGACTATGAAGTTTCTATTATTTGCTCCTCTATGCGCTTTATAATTGTCAAGGGTCCACGGAAAGGAAATTGTCCATGTCGCAAAATAGATGAGCTTTTTGTTTGTCAAAAAAAAAAAAAGACAATTTAGTAAATGAGAAAAGATGGGTTTTTAATCTCTCTGGGATTGGCGGGGGCAGGGGAGGGAAGAGGTGAGCTTATTGTGTCTCACTCATCGCAGTCATTTCTCTGTCTTTCCAGACCCAGGCCTACCACAACGTGTCTGTGACGCCTCCAGCTGAGAAGACGGTGCCCGGCGTGGCCGTGCTGCTGGGGGCCGTGGGGATCGGGATGTGCGGCTACAGCTCCAGGCAGTTGGCCCTCTACCACCGGCCCTCCGCCCGTGTGCTGCAGTGGGTCGGTACCCACACCGATGCCGGCACGGTGGCGCTCAGGACCCCCGTCCCGGATGTAAATCGCCGGGCTGGTACCAACCAGGAGATCCCGCCTCCCACATTCGTTGGCGAGAAAGTTCCCTCAAAGTAAACCGTGACGATAGCTCGGGTGTAGACTAAACCAGCGTCACAGGTTGAATTTCAGTAACTGCACTTATGCTTGTCTAAGATTGTAGCTATGCTGGCCCGTTGCACCAATGTGGCCCATGTGCTCTCTAAAGACGCGTGAGTGTGGATATCTGACTGAACCTGTACGCTGGCAGGGCAGTGGGAAAGATCTCTTGTAGTGACACGGAAATCTGTAACTAGCACAACACACATGAGGATAGTTTACACTCGACCGTGTAGCATTCACTAATATTGGAGCGTTTAGTGCACTGAGAGGGATTCGGAATGATTGGATGAGTACGTAACTAGTGCTGGAACTTCCCAAAGACTGTTGCTGAATGTGGCTTGAATGAGCGAACATGTTTAATTTGGAGACATTGTGTGTCTTTCTGAGTCCTGGCAATAAAAAGGGACTGATGCTTGGCAGTGCCCGTCTCTACACAGATGGCTGGCAACCCTCTCTCTGTGACCCCCCTCCTCCTTCCCATCCTTCCCCAGGCAGAAGGCCATGTGTAAGTGCTTGAGCAGCACACCCCTGCCCATGCCTTCAGTTGATTTCCTCTGAGGAGGAGCAGGTGCTATCCATCAACCGGCCTTGGCGTCGTATCGCTCGGCCAGCAATGGCTGTCAATCAAGAGAGAGCGATGGAGGCTTGAATCGGTGACCGGTGTCTCCTGCTCTGGGTAGGATACTTTTTTCCGAGGGTTTGGTCAGAGTGGTAAAGAACAGCGCATATGGCGACACATATGATATAAAAAAAAACACTCCAACAAATACATCTTGCTGGATTAGGAGTCCAAATTTGCCTGGCTGAGACGCAGCGGGAGGCAGGCAGACAAGGTGGAACGGTGATTCCTCCGGGATAAGCTCGTGTCCTCGGTGGGGATTAACCCCGGTGGAAAATCACCCCTGGCACACACACTCATTAACCTAATCTGGCATTAGAGAGACAAGGACTCGTGAGAAGCAGACAGTTCCTGGGCATCCCAACGTCGTACCATTCCCCCTGCAGTGTCCACCATTCGTCTCACTGTCATACGTGGATGTATGCGTTATTGCTGCTGGTGTTTTTAATTTGAAAGTGTAGCAGTGAAAAAGGGGACTTGAGACTTGGCGAGACACTGAGCGTGGTTGAGAATGAGTGCTGTGCCTTATAGGATTGCGCGCAGGATTATACTGTCTGTATTTATGGTGAGCATCTATCAGATGTGGCGATGACAGCAGTCATAAAAAGGGGAGAGTTTTATTTCTCCACGAGCAGAGAACACGATGAAAAAGGAAGTTCCCCGGCATTGTGCAACTTTGTGAAAAAGGGAGGATGGTTAGAAAGTCGAGCGTTTCATCAGCTAGAGGTCAGCCAGACCTTGTAATCCGTTTCTTTTTTTCTTCGTATCTGAAGAGCCGTCCTCTTCTGTCTGCCAAATTGGACAAGCGGCTGGTTGTGGCAGGTTGGGAGTTTTTTAGACCCTCAGTAAAGGCCCTCTAGCTCACTGGTGCAGCAGGTCACCAACAAAATGGTCGTAATCCACTCAGCAGAGCGGGCTAATGGCTTCGACTGGCATCAGGCACTGAACAATTGGTCACCTTACCCCGGACAGCGACTGACATCCATAAACAATTTCATAATGGGGGTGTAATAGCTCCAGAACAGCAGGGAAGCACACAGGCTACATTGCCGCATCCCACGCTCCGTTTTTTTTACATGCATGTCTGACTCCATCTGTTATAAAAAATCAAAGTCTGAAAGAATTTGTCACCGCACTGCATTCTACAGTCGCGTTCGGGCCCTGCGCTCCCAGGAGTTCTGAAATCGATGTGGGTTTGGGCTGGAGGCTGTGTAATGCACCTGGCTGGTTTTGATGGATTCTCTCTATACTGCAGTGGTGCACAGTGAGCACAGAGCACTGTGAAAACCTATTGATCTCAATCAGAGAGTGAGGGAGGAGAGCTTGTCTCCTCGCTGCAGAAAACTTCCCCTTTCGCTCAGCATCGCGGAGTTTATGAGGGGGAACTGCCAAGATAAAAGGAACACCTGAAAACGTGTTTGCCGTTGGAATTTAAAGGAAAAATAAATACGAGGGATGTTTGAAGGCACCGTGTTCGTCTGTCACGCGTCGGTGCTCATCCACTACAGGTCTACAAACTGGAGTTCAGCTGCGCCCAGTAAAGGAGAGATTTGTTCTGTTAGTCAAATAATCAATATTTAATGAAAAAGATGTTGGAAGAGATTTGTGAAATAAAAGCAGTTGGCAAACATTCAGCTTCACTGTTGCACTTTAGTCACAGCCGATCACTTCTGTACACTTCTGTGAAGAGAAGATGTTCTTTTTGTGCAAAAAAGGCAAAAAAAAATCCCTTTAGTCAAATAAAAAAATCATGTTGTTTTGATGTAATCTGGCTTAAAGAGATTCGACACAGTTTCCCAAAGAAATCCCGATGCTTTTAACTTGTCTTATTTCTTTTTTGTTGAAGCACTTTGTAACAAGAAACAGAAATAAAGTTTATTATTATCATTATGGCCTGATCACGAGCTGCACTATCTAAAACTTTAGAATTACTGATTGGAAGGATATAGTGAGTGAAAAAAAAAAAAGTTTTGAAGGGGTGAAAATGTCATGACATTCACACTATTCTCTGAAGGGAATAGTTGTGTTTGAGTCTTAAGTTAAAAAGAGAAAACTGAGCCAAACACTTAACCCCAGCTGCTGTCGGTGTTTAGTGGATTTTTCTGAGACCTGAGAAGATTTTTCCAGCCTCATATCGACCTGTTCAGGCGCAGAAATCACTAGCAGGTGTCTAAGGAGCGAAGATGCCACGTCACAACAATTTAAAACAGATTCTAGTCACGCAACAGATGAATAAATCTGGCTGGTGGACAAAAAAGCTGAAAATGTCATCTCTTGAAGGTCCCACCACCACATAACTCTGTGTCCATATGGTGTTTTTAATAGACTAGAAGACATAACTTGAGTAAAAAAAAAAGTCAACAGCAGAGTCGAGCATTTCCACCGTGACAAAAACAGGGATTCAGACTTTCAGGGTCTCATATGTTACAAACCTAAGAAGCTAATCCATCAACTCACAGGGTGGGACTTTTTCTCTCATTCTTCTTCAGAAATCAGTTTCCAGTTTGATGGTTTAATTCCTCCAATATTACTACTTTCCAGTAATTTTACAGGGTTCGAGCGGAATCGTAGGTGAGCTGGTGTGCTCAGCTGCAGCGAAGGGTGGAGGACAGGTGTTGGTAGATAAATATGTACATCAATACGCCGCTTTCATCCATAGAGATGAGTTTTAGGAGTTCAGTCGTTGATTAAGAGGGACTTAAACGTCATCTGCAGTGGAGACACAATAACAGGCTGCAGCCTCGTAAACAGCTACAGACCTGCCTACGGATAATGACTGATTGCATTTTTGATGAATATAATATAAAAAAGTGTCCATTTAAGTAAAGACTATTTGCAGATACAGTGCTGCCTGTTTATTGTCACACCCTCGCTCCAGGATGGAATTATGACTATATCTGGGATATTCCAATAAGCGGACTTCAAGATGGCAGCGAGTTTGGGTGCGAAAACTAGCCTATGTACAGAGGAGTATACAGAGGTTTAATTTATCCTGATTAACTAGCTGAGCAGTTCAGTTATGAGTGACGACATGCTCTGCAACAATGCTTTGATGTGCCCTAATTAATGTCAGACAGTGTGTGAATAACTCGGTGAAGCAGATCTCAGGTGAGCAACAAACAAACAAACACATTACCGGGGTGTGATAATCTGCCCCGTATGACCGACGCTAGCCCCGTGAGCCGTAACAATTGGCCTACCATGACTTTAAACAGGCAAAAGTTATTCCTGGAATCAATTTTGGGGAATTTCATTATGACAAAAACCAGATTATGACATTATTCTATGACAACAAATGGGCTGTTTTACTAAAGGTTATATAGGAAATGATTCAGGACTTCACTATTTTATGATTATAAACGGGATATTCTATAAAGCGGTACAACAATAAATGGGCAGCACTGTATGTGATCAATGTGATAGACTGTCCAGGGTGTAACCTGCCTCCGCCCTAAGTCAGCTGGGATCGACTCCAGCCCCTCCGTGACCCTACAGAGGATGAAGCAGTGTATAGAAAATGGATGGATGATGTACTGCTAAAAATGTTGGACGTCAAAATTCATAGATCCAAATCCTTAAAGTATTCAGGGCCAAGATTTGGAACAGATTACTAGCATATGGGAAATATTATATAAGAGTTTTTAAAAACAGTTGCAAAACAAAACTTTCATTATGGGAAAAGGATTGTAAAAAGTGTTTTATTGAGTGCATTATTGGATTTAAGTTTAATCACAGTTTCTACTTAAATCTGCACCATGAAAATATTAACTTTTAATACTTAAGTCTTGTGTTCTGTTTAGGTTTGATGCTTAAAAAAGCAGTTTTCCTGCTAAGTATAGTCTATATTTTTACTTTTTCTTTCTCTTTCGATATGACAATCAGATACTTGCATTAATGAAAAAGGCGAATCACATAGAGTTGAAACCAGAAGTTTACACACACTGTATAAAAAGACATAAAATAAAATGAGGAAACATGAGCGGAAAGTAGAATTTTGCCTGCTTGTGCTAAAATAAAGATACATACTTTAGATGTTATTGACCCTGTGTTCATATCATTGTATTCTACGGTAGAGGGTGCTTAACCACGTAAGAAAAGCTTTTAGAAATGAGCATTAGTCCATTTTTACGCATAATATGCCACAATATGTCATGAAACCAAATAGTAGGAATGACCCATATGATGAATGGATGGAGCTGTGTGGTACAGTAGGTCAGTGGGTCACATTAAAGAGAAGCAGACCCTCCACCAGAAGCAACAGGTTTGCTCTCACGCAGCCGAACTGTGCCCTCCAGCGGACACATCCAGCGCACACCGGAGCCATCGGTCATCCATGGTCAGAGTTGGTCTCTCTGTGTTGCTTTGTTGCGCGGATAAAAAAAAAACTAACAAAAGAAAAAACAGTATTCGTCTTTCCTAACAAGAGCAACAAAAAAAAATGTGGCTTAGTTTAAACTTTACTCAGTAGCTTCTGGATTTCTTCCCGTGTGCCGCCGCCTGTGCTCGGTGAGGACGCAGCGAGGCGGTGCGTCCTGGAGGAGCAGCGCTGGAGAAAGTACGGCGTGGAGGAGAAGCAGCAGAAGAAGAAGAGTTCACCAAACGTTTTGAGGTTTATTTATCCGCTTTCAAGGGTTTGTATCCACATTTGTTGGCTTTTAAAATGGAAGTTTTTAACGTGATGGATGAAAAGTTAGTTTGTTAGTTTGTTGACGCTTCGGGGTTGCGTCCGAAAGTTTTGATTTGCGCGTCTGTGGCGCAAATGTTTGGCTTCAGAACGATGTTTTAATCTTTACTTAAATTGAATTTTACTTAGTTTGGACTGCTTTAGTTGTTCTTAATGGTGCGGATTGCTGCCGTTGTGCTGGTTTTTGGTGCATTTCTTCAAATCATTCATATGCTTTGGCAGACAACAGCTTTGTTTGTCTCATGTGGTCACACTGCTGAGTCCTGACTGAGTCTCATTAACCTCACTATGTAAAAAGCGCTGATTTTCATACCATTCAAATGAGCAGCATGAGCTACATTCAGTTGTGAAAGAAACGAGGCTGGTTCTGTTCTGTTCACTGCATTAGTTCTCAGCTGTGCATGACTTTACCCATCATTCTACTGGATCAGGGATCTCCAGCTCTGAGCTACTGTCCTGCAGGTTTTAGATGTTTCTGTACTGCAACACACCTCAAACTAAAGGATCTCCTACACCTTGTTGTCAAGTTCTACACAAGTCTGTTAATGATCCACTAATTTGAGTCAGGTGTGTTGCCATATGGAAACGTCTCAAACCTACAGGACAGTAGCTCACGAGGACCGGACTCAGAGATGTTGTCCCTCTCCATCTGTGTGTAGGTCACCTCTACTGTGCCACTTTGGTCTGGGCTAAAGTGCAACAAGCACCTGCAGGGCCGCATCACTGGCCCAAACCCTATTACCGCAGCATGGGCAACTTTTCCAGCAAGGACGGACATGGACCCACAGGTAGGTCAGCACTCAAACACACACACACACACAATTTTGAGTCTCCAATGTATTTTTTTTCTTAAATTAGCTCTTGTCACGTCACCTCCCTTGAACTTTCTTTGCCGCCTCCTCTCTGTATCCTGAAATGGATTTCAAATAGTTGGCATTGTCCACAGACGGCTGGCGATGTGTGTGTTGGCCTCATGTTTTGATTTTTTATTTTAAAGTAATGCCAGCACACCTCAAAGCTTTGATTTGTGTAGTAGAAGAAGAAAGAGGAGGAGGAGGAGGAGGAGGAGGGGAGGAAGAGGAGTGATTACAGTAAGAGTGAGCACACTAGAATTCCCTAAAAAGAGAGGGTGGATGAGGAGTGATCAGGAAACTGAAGACAACAAAAGGAGAAGCAAGTGGAGAGGATGTGTGTGTGTGTGTGTGTGTGT